TTCTATGATTCTATGATTCTATGTATACATGTGAAGGTGTGCTACACATACACATACAGTATATCTGCTGATTCTGAGTTCATCCCATAGGCTTATGTTTCAGCTCATCATCAGATACAGCTGAGCTGAAACAAGAGCTGTTACAGTCATAGGGAAGGAATAAAATGGAACCCAGCCGAGGCTGCGCCTCTCCCTCCTACTCAGTGTGCTGGATCAGAGACACACCTGTCCCAGCCACTACTGCAGATACCAGAACAGACATGGTTCCTCCCTTCTTCCCATCCTCTGACCATCAGTGACAAAACTGCAGAGAAGCACCAGCCAGTGGCATCAGCCAGCTACACTCAGCTGCTAAAGCAACCACAGCCAAAACCTGTGACACTCAGAGAGCTCCCAGTCATTTCAACTCAATGTTCTCTGCATCTGCTGATCTCATTTTTTCCAACCCTTTCTTCCTTCCATCTTTCCCTTCCACCTTCATTTTCCCCCTCACTTTCACTCTTTATTTACACTGTATAGCACTCTTCTGTTCTGTTCTTTCCCTCCCTCCAGAACTTTTCTCTCCATCGCTTTTCTTTCCATTTTGTTTATTCCCTTCTAACTATCTCTACTCCCATAAAAAAGTAATATCGTGGAACCGTCACACCGTTTCTCCACCTGGGGTCTGTCTTGTCCATTTTATTTGTGAGCTTTTAATGAAAGAGGCTGTGTGAAAAACCCTTGACTGTATAGTGCCCACCATAATAGGTCCTCCTTTTTGGCTGGCCTTCACGCAATACCTTGTTAAACATGAGTCATGATAATCAGATCCTACAACAGCATTATTTGTCTAAAATAGTACTTGTCCTCTGCTCTGCTGTTTCCCCACCACAGCCACTTCACACATTTACACAACTGCTTCCTTTATATATCAGTGCTCTGTGATCAGCATATGGTTCATGTTACAGGTTTCTCAGGTTTCAGAGTGAAATAAAATGAGCTTTCTTCCATTTTCAGAATATCTTTCGTTTTAAGAAGTCCAAGCAAAGCCACACATTATTAGTAAGTTTGCAAGCAGCTGCCAGAAGATAGAAAATTTAGAATGGAAAGATGAGTGAAATAACAGAAAGGCTGTTTGTTGTTTGCTCTTGGAGTGACAGCAATGGAAAATACTTAGAAATTAAAATTATTAGTTTATTTAGAGTTTTAATAAAGCAGACATGGTTTTGTATTATTTGCCAACGTTGGTACTCTAGAGCACAACTATGGGTCAAATCCTTCAGTGGTGTAACTTTTGGCTTCGTAGGGTTCCTCCAGGGGTGAGTGTGGTGCAATGCTACTAGCATCAGTTAGCAAGCAGCCTTTCATTTGTTTTCATGCAAAGCCTGAACAATTTGCAATTAAGAAAGAGTAAATTACAAAGACTCAGTCTCCTAGATCAAATCTGTCCTTAATTTTGGGGTTGAAAGCCTTATCCAAAGACTCATAACCAGGAGTACTTTAGGTTCTTTTTACTTCCCTGTTATTGTTACGGCTGTATGGTACTACCACTTATGTCTGTATACATGAAACATTTAAATTCATGCTGGAATATATACCTGAACCTTCTGGTTCAACATCAGACCTTGAAGGAGAATCCCCAAAGGGAGCAAAAGCTCTGCTCTAGCAAAGCTCTTAAGCTTCTGCTTAATTTTACGTAAACAGATTTCTCCAGCTTTAGAAGAAGTGAGGTTGAAAGACTGTGAATTAGAGAAGCTAACAGAGGAGCATCAGTTGTACTACTGTACTACTGACCTGATGGAATCCAAGGTTAGAGGAGAGAAGAATTGAAACCATTGTTTCTGTAGTCTCTGTCATAAACATGCATTTTGCTGTGTTTAAATGCTTTGTCAGAGCAAGGAAGCCGTCTTCCCTCAAAGCTTATGTGTAAGCAATGTCTTTGCCTTTGGAACCAGACTCCTGACTATTCACAAAAATGTGTCATAGTTGGTCATCATAGTAAACTGACTCGGTAATGGAAAAGGGCTCCGGAGGATCACAGGTTTGATGGACTGGTTTGTTTATTTCTTTTTTCATTAATGTCATAACTGTTCTGGCCACAGAGTTTGCCCCATTTGCCTTTGAAAAGTGTGACCCTCGAGAATACCAATTTAAAGGAAGCAGCTGGTTTTTGCCATCGTGACCTGTCACAGCTGGAAGGCTTCAGGCAGCTCCAAGCAGACCAATGATCTAATGCAAAGGCTTTAGGCTCTACTCTAAGGAAGGCCCACACTCCTACAAGGCTCAGGAGGAAATGCCTCACCCTTAGGAGTAAACGCCCTGCCTTAAATAGTCAGGAGTCACACAGACCCATTGCTAGATGGGTCAAGGCTATTGGTCACTTGACCATCCATCTCGCAGAGTGATTGGCTGAATGCTACAGCACCTGTTTCAAGGTAACTTTCCCAGTGTAACGAGCTACAGGTGTTTCTTAGTTAGCCTGCATAGGGAAAGAACTTTCACAGGATGCTGCAGCAGCCAAAAGGTTTCTCCACAGTGACCAACTCATTAGAAGCCAGCACATTATATCTTTATTAATGTTGAACAGCGTCTTATACCATAAAGGGCCCATTGAAATTAGTGGCTTAGCTGCAAAGAAGGTTACCGCTCAACAGTTTTCACTGTTGCTAAATATGTGACTTTACAAACAGCACCATAAAAATTCTAAGTATTTCTAAAATGTCCCACTTCTTTGGACTTTGAAATAGGAAGAATTGCACTGTAACTTTAAAATGCCAGAAACAATCAAGAAGACATGTTAGCCATCTCTTAAGAACGTTTAATTTCCAAGCCAATAAATTCAGCTGCTGAATTTTTGTCCTTTGTTTTAGGATGTGACAGTTCTGTTGCATAACTACAATTAAAGAATCTCAGAAGGCTCTGAAATGTTATAATATTCTGTGGGTGCAAATGCAGAGTCGTTTTTTGTTTAGTTTTACAGCAGGGAAGGGGCACTAAAATGGCAGCATGTTGCCTTTTTTTAACATCTAGTTTATGATTCATTCTAAAATATTCTTTCATTTGGAATTAACTTCAGATATTCCTGTTCTGACAAGCAGAGTAAATATTTTAGCAAGGATTTTTTAGAGAGAAATTTTGACAGTAACATACTCCTCCCTTAGCGTTACAAAGGAAATACTTGCTATCCAAACCCAGAGTCGGCATTTTAGTGGAAATGGTTCCAAAAGAATACGTAGGATGTTACAAATGTAAAATGCATTTAATGAAAGAGTATACGGATGTCTTTCATGTATTTTAAATAAAAATGTCTAATTTGAGACTTGAGAAAGTCAACAGCGATTTCTGAGCCATATGCTTGCTATTACAATAGTATGTTGTGTATAACTGTCGTTCAGTGAGAAACAGCACGGAGCAAAAAGGAAGAGACATACAAAAACATGAAGTTAAAGGAGGAGAGACCATCTTACAAAGATGGTCTTTTTGTTATGTTTTGCCTTGATTAGAATATATCCCTTTCTTGCTTTACGTTAGCACACATAATTCCT